ATAGCTTATTTTGCAACATTTTTTTTTAAAAATGTTACTACATATAAGTAACATTTTTATTATCTCAATATTATCTTTTTTAATTGCTTATAAAATTAAAGTTACATCGAGTTAAAAATATATATTTTTCTCATATCTAATTATCATCCATAATTAAAGTTCCATATCACATAAATGAATGATTCATAAAAAATATATATAATCATATAGTTATACTTAAGATAAATGAACTTTGATATTTGATATATATATATATATATATATATATATATATAATTAGTGGTGACTAATTAATAATTTATTCAACCTTCTCTTCAAGAATTCCTAGGAGTTTAGGAGTCATGATACAATATCTAAATTAAAACTAATTATCATTTTTTAAATTAACAAAAACTTAACAACATCATTAAAATGTTACAAAAATGTCACTTTAAATATTTGATAACATGTTGCAAAAGCTAAATAGCAATATTTGTACACAATTAGGTAACATTTTTTTTTTAAATATTACTAAAAGTTATTTGTGTTGTAGTGTATGGAAGGAATAATATTCTAGAACTCTTAGATTGCTCGGTGATGTTTTAATTTTTTTTTAATTTCATGATTTTTTAATATTTCATATCAATTTTCTTTTTAATATTCCAACATATGTGCCCACTCAATATCATTAAATAATTGACCTTTCGAAAACTGTTAAAATAATGCGTATTGAAAACTCATTATAATCACAACAATAGTACTAATAGTGCTCACAAATGCAAATGATGATTATGTTTGCAAGTTTTATACTTTTCATCACAGTACGGAAGATAGCCATGAGGATGCTACAATTTATATATTGCTGATGGAACATTATGATTTTGGATTATTTGCTGAATATATCATGTTCAAGAGAAATATAATTTTGTTGCTTATCTGTCACAAAGGTATGTGTTCCTACTTGAAACAGTCCTGATCTTCTTGGTGACTAATCCTCCAAGTTTGATACATTGATTAAGTCCTTGCTTCAGGTGGAGGGAGAGGGTACCTGCAAAGTCACCCTGATGCTCAAGTGAGTATTTGGTATAGAGCAATAAATGCTTCAATATTAAATAAACATCATACCTTTTCTTGTCCCATCAAGGTGTATTTATAGTGATGTATTTGGGCCTGATGGGCCTTTTTCCTCGGGGAATGGGTAATTAGAGTCTCTAAGTCCTAATTTAACCTTAATGTTGGTTTAACGTTGTTATGTATGATTTAATTCTTCTTTAAACAACATGTGGTCCTGTTTTCGAGGTGCCGAATACCCCCCGGCTGACCTCTTAGCTAAAGGGGTATTCGACATGGCTTTCGACTGAATCCCCTCTGAGTTAGCTGAGGCGCTTCGGCCCTCCTCATATGTGATTCTTCCTTGGCCCACACAATACCCGAATGGGGGTGTTCGGCCTTGGTTGAAGGTTCTCTTTAACCCCCCTCGGCCTGTTCAAGGACCAGATATAGGGGGTTTGCTGTGGTCAAATAGAGTCTTCAGAGGTGGCTTTGACGCCCCTTGACCTGAATAAGGTCCGAATAGGGAGGTTTGCTTTTAGTTTAAACAAGGGCTGAACATGGGGGTTTGGTTTGACTGAATGGGATCTTCAAAGGTGGATTTTCTCTCATGTACACTGCCCCTCAAGCCCGAGGGCGGGAGACAAAGGGGTTTGTCGAAGATCGAAGGGTTTTCTAAACGATTTTTTTTTTGTAAGTTAGTCAGGCTGCGCGGCGTGCCTCCTTATTTCTAAGTCGGCAGGGTACGAAATCTAAGAGGTCGGATCATTATTCGTTTTTGGGAGTTGTGTCCCCTGGGAACGAATGTGGCCATTCATAAATGTACCGCCCTAGGGATTCATCCCTCATCATTGGCATGGGGGCGTGTCCGTTGGTAGTCCATGCGCATTAATGAGGGGCCTCTTCGTATGCTCTTAGGTTGCCTATTGTTGATAATTCCGTTGAAGTACTTTTATTTATAATTATAGATTAGGTTACTTCCCTCAACGGACTCAAACACGGCAAGTGTACCGGCCGTACAAGTAGTAAAAATATCGTATCCACAGGGATTAGCAATTTAGCGATCGAATTAGTAATTATTTTTAAAAAATAAAAAATAAAAAAATACACTTAGTGACCGATTTAGCGACCGAAATGAAAATTATTTTTTAAAATAATAAAATTTAGTGACCGATTTAGCGACCGAAATTAAAAATAATTTTTTATTTTAAAAATTATTAGCGACCGACTTAGCGACGGAAAGGAAAATCATTATTTAAAAATTTAAAAATAAATAACACATTTAGCGACCGATTTAGCGACCTTTTTTTCGGTCGCTAATTTGATCCCCATATACTATGGCGACCATAATCGTAGTGACCAATTAGCGACCGAAAAATTCGGTCGCTAATTAGCGACCACCAGTATTTCCGTCGCTAAACAACTTTGCGACCATGATTTTTGCAACTACTTCAAATCGGTCGCTAATTCGATCGCTAAAGTAAATAGCAACCGATTTAAGTAATTTAGCGACCGATTTTTGTGGTCACTAAAATCCTTTTTTTTTGTAGTTATAATATTTATCCAAAAAAATATGTGTTTTATGTGTGTGTGCAGGGGCAGATCTTTTAAGGGACCCGGGGGAGCCACGACTCCCCCAAAATTTTCTAAAATCTAATATATATTTTAATGTTATATTTATATATTATTAATTGTAATAAAATTAAAAGTCTGAATCTATTCTCTCTCTCCTGGTTAACTTCTCAAAGAAGCCTCCAAAGCTGAAAGCGAAAGTTGGAAAGCCTTTTCCTTGAATCAAGAATTCTCTTTTAATCACTCACTCACATCCATGGCTTTCTAGTTCTTCTCCCCTCCTAACATTATGAACTAGCCAACTAGGACTTCTCTTCTCTCCGATGCCTTCGCCCTTCACACTGGTATTTTTTTACCATTTTTCACTTATTATTTTTCTTCTCTTATTGTTTCTTCGCCACTGTGTTTTTTGTTTCCCCTTTTTCTCATTTAGCTATGGTCTTTGTGTTTATCATTCCTTATGATGTGCAAATGAAATCATATAGGCAGTGGCGAAAAATAGAGAAAAAAGACTTTTAGGTTACGTTGCAAATTTGAATTTGCATTGGATTTTTTGGTAGACTAAATAAAAGTTCATTTCCCCTTTATGGTTATTTTATAAAATGATTAGTGAATGATAATACTTTTCTTGGATTTTATTATTATGCATGTTTATTTTGAGTAGAAAAATGAGAAATTTTATTATTTTTAATTAATAAAAAAATTAATTTATATATAAAAAATTAATTTGGTACCTCCATATTTTTTATTCAAGTTCCGTCATTGTATGTGTGTGTTTTAATTAAATTTTATTATGTGAGGAAAGAGTTTTGTAACTGGGGTTAAAATATTTAACTATTGGGTTAAGAGGGAGTTGAGTTTTAAAAATGAAAATTTTTAAATAGTTGTATTTTTTAAATAGTTGTATTTTATGTTTCTAATTCTTTCTTATAATGAATTTAAGCTCTAAAGACTTGGAAGAATCAAAGCTTGTAGGAGAACATCTCGGAGATCCACGTCCATCTTTTAGTATTCATCGAGGTAAGGGAGAGTGAGTAACTTTGCTCTAGGTGTAGATGTATGTTGGGTAGTGAGATTGATCTTAGATCTCTTCTTTATTGTCTTTATTGTATGTGCTATGTGTGAGGGGTTTTCCCAGATATGCCTTTATCTTTTCTGCCTCTTCTTATGTGTTATAATTGATGTCCATTGTATGTATATGATTTAATTTTCGAGTTAAACCTATAATTGCAGGATTTTGGATTACGTGTAGTTCTTGTAGGAAAATCTTATTTATAGAGCCATGTGAGAATCGATGTTAACTATATAAGTATGTGAAATTGATAATATATTGGAGTAGTATTAAACTTTAGTCATGAATTTTACCAATTAGTTTGAAGTTTTGGGTTTGTATTGTGCAACTTTTGCATAGTATGTAGGTCTCTTTTGAATTGATATCACATCAGGCATCAAATTAATAGCCCATGTCAAGCGTCATTTGATGCTTTTCTTGTGATATTTGGTGTTGGGTGTGACCTCAATCACGCTGAGCATAGGTCTGACAAAGAGGTTGTGATTGACTTCTCTGTATTGGGTGCAATAACCACTGCACCGGACATGGTACTATTAGAATTAGGTTTTGTGATCTTCATAAAAAAAATTGTATCCCTAATGTCATCTTTCAAATGTGTTTGGAATCACCTAAAAAGAAGGTTTAGAACTCAAGTTATGATTAAATTAGTGAGCAAATGTCAGATTGTCAGATTTAAGCTAAAACATTATGATTTGGTATTTTTTAAAAAATAATAGATGCCATAATTAGCACTTGAGGTCAACATAGAAGTTTTAGATAATTGTCTTAGCTTTATAATAAAATTAATATCAACTTGATAACATATGCATAACTCTATGTATGGTGTTTGGACTACATGAGGTCTTAAAAAATTAAGTTGTGGAAAGGTAGTTTGTGAAATGAGGAATGACTTTACCCTTTAAGTGATTTATGTTACAAATGGTTTGAGGTATCTATATCAATGTTTAGGAAATATAAATCATGGGATAAAACAAGTGTAAATAAGTTATGATGTGAGTTAGTTGTTATGATTTAAGGTATTTTTGACGATAACGATGTCTAAGGACTTAATGTGTGATATTGATGAGATTGGAAAACTAGTTAAGTTATTAATTTAAAATGCTTAGTAATGTTGATCTCTTAGTAACTATGGTTAATGTCTTAATGTATGATTAGAAAATTTTATAATGATTCTATCTTGAGGTGTATCAAATGATGTTGCGCAATTGTTATGTTTGAACTTTCAATATGTGTAATTATTGTACTAATTGATGTTGATAACTAGTTATGGTATGTGAGTATGTTGTTGACACAATTTTGAGCTATGTAGGAATTGATTGAACTTTGCTTGATTGGAGTAGTGACCTATTATTCAAACATGCTAGCATCTGTTGCAGAACATGGCATATCAAAACCATCAAGAAATCATCAAAATTCTCACCATTCAGAAGCACCAAATTCCTATGCAAACACAAGGGCAATACTTGGCCAACCTCGACTTCAAAGGACTAAACCAATTATATGGTGTGCTGCAATTTTGTGCTTCATATTCAGCTTAGTACTTATTTTCTTTGGAATTGCAACATTGATTGTCTACCTTGCCATGAAGCCACGAAACCCCATGTTTGACATTCCTAATGCAAACCTCAATGTAGTATATTTTGACTCACCACAGTACCTCAATGGCGAATTCACTCTCCTTGCAAATTTTTCCAATCCTAACAGGAGAATTGGGGTGAGGTTTGAGTCCTTGAATATTGAGCTTTTCTACTCGAACAGACTCGTGTCATCACAGACAATCAAGCCTTTTACTCAAAGGCCAAGGGAAAACAGGTTGCAATCAGTGAACTTGATATCCAGCTTGGTGTTTTTGCCTCAAGATGTTGGTGTGAAACTTCAAAGGCAAGTGGAGAATAACAGGGTCAACTACAATGCAAGGGGAACATTTAAGGTGAGGTTCAACATGGGCCTTTTCCATTTATCTTACTGGCTGCATAGCATATGTCAGATAGAGATGACTAGTCCTCCAACTGGTATTCTAGTAGCAAGACAATGTATAACAAACAGATGAAGAGGCAACATGGTAGAGTTCTTTTGTGTTTTTTTTTTCTTTCTAGTTTCTACTTTATTAGGAGATATAGCTAATGCCTAATGGTACATACCAGTGTGCAACAGAGTTAAATGATTCTTGCGAGAAATGAAATCGAGAAGATTAGCTGATACCATTCGATTTTATTTGACTTTTTTTAATGTTTTTATTTTTAGATAGCGGTGGAGGGTGTTGAAGCAATTCTATACCAGCAGAATTATGATGTACATTTTATTTTATTTTTCTACTAATAACAGTCTATAGTTTTTCTTCCAGAATGGGGTGGTAAGCAAACATTGAATTAACTTCTTGATATTGTTTTCTTTAACTTCCTTAATTGTGTCGTGTCAGCTGTACTAATTGGAAATCCTTTTGACTATGTAAAATACTTAAAGCTAAAATGTGTTAAAAGCAGAAAAGGACTTGTCAGAGATTGATCATTGACGTGGAAATATATATATATATATATATATATATATATATAATTAGTGGTGACTAATTAATAATTTATTCAACCTTCTCTTCAAGAATTCCTAGGAGTTTAGGAGTCATGATACAATATCTAAATTAAAACTAATTATCATTTTTTAAATTAACAAAAACTTAACAACATCATTAAAATGTTACAAAAATGTCACTTTAAATATTTGATAACATGTTGCAAAAGCTAAATAGCAATATTTGTACACAATTAGGTAACATTTTTTTTTTAAATATTACTAAAAGTTATTTGTGTTGTAGTGTATGGAAGGAATAATATTCTAGAACTCTTAGATTGCTCGGTGATGTTTTAATTTTTTTTTAATTTCATGATTTTTTAATATTTCATATCAATTTTCTTTTTAATATTCCAACATATGTGCCCACTCAATATCATTAAATAATTGACCTTTCGAAAACTGTTAAAATAATGCGTATTGAAAACTCATTATAATCACAACAATAGTACTAATAGTGCTCACAAATGCAAATGATGATTATGTTTGCAAGTTTTATACTTTTCATCACAGTACGGAAGATAGCCATGAGGATGCTACAATTTATATATTGCTGATGGAACATTATGATTTTGGATTATTTGCTGAATATATCATGTTCAAGAGAAATATAATTTTGTTGCTTATCTGTCACAAAGGTATGTGTTCCTACTTGAAACAGTCCTGATCTTCTTGGTGACTAATCCTCCAAGTTTGATACATTGATTAAGTCCTTGCTTCAGGTGGAGGGAGATATATAATTATTATTATATAAATTGGGCGTTAAAATCGGGTGTTACAATTGATATGTTATAATATTGATACAATTGACGCGCGTGTACAGATCTTGTGAGGGTCATATGTACGTGAGATATTTCTCACTCCCCATTTTTTGTGTTTGTTTTGTGTGAAATGTTGATGCATGTGAGATTCAATAACATGTTGCAAAAGCTAAATAGCAATATTTGTACACAATTAGGTAACATTTTTTTTTTAAATATTACTAAAAGTTATTTGTGTTGTAGTGTATGGAAGGAATAATATTCTAGAACTCTTAGATTGCTCGGTGATGTTTTAATTTTTTTTTAATTTCATGATTTTTTAATATTTCATATCAATTTTCTTTTTAATATTCCAACATATGTGCCCACTCAATATCATTAAATAATTGACCTTTCGAAAACTGTTAAAATAATGCGTATTGAAAACTCATTATAATCACAACAATAGTACTAATAGTGCTCACAAATGCAAATGATGATTATGTTTGCAAGTTTTATACTTTTCATCACAGTACGGAAGATAGCCATGAGGATGCTACAATTTATATATTGCTGATGGAACATTATGATTTTGGATTATTTGCTGAATATATCATGTTCAAGAGAAATATAATTTTGTTGCTTATCTGTCACAAAGGTATGTGTTCCTACTTGAAACAGTCCTGATCTTCTTGGTGACTAATCCTCCAAGTTTGATACATTGATTAAGTCCTTGCTTCAGGTGGAGGGAGAGGGTACCTGCAAAGTCACCCTGATGCTCAAGTGAGTATTTGGTATAGAGCAATAAATGCTTCAATATTAAATAAACATCATACCTTTTCTTGTCCCATCAAGGTGTATTTATAGTGATGTATTTGGGCCTGATGGGCCTTTTTCCTCGGGGAATGGGTAATTAGAGTCTCTAAGTCCTAATTTAACCTTAATGTTGGTTTAACGTTGTTATGTATGATTTAATTCTTCTTTAAACAACATGTGGTCCTGTTTTCGAGGTGCCGAATACCCCCCGGCTGACCTCTTAGCTAAAGGGGTATTCGACATGGCTTTCGACTGAATCCCCTCTGAGTTAGCTGAGGCGCTTCGGCCCTCCTCATATGTGATTCTTCCTTGGCCCACACAATACCCGAATGGGGGTGTTCGGCCTTGGTTGAAGGTTCTCTTTAACCCCCCTCGGCCTGTTCAAGGACCAGATATAGGGGGTTTGCTGTGGTCAAATAGAGTCTTCAGAGGTGGCTTTGACGCCCCTTGACCTGAATAAGGTCCGAATAGGGAGGTTTGCTTTTAGTTTAAACAAGGGCTGAACATGGGGGTTTGGTTTGACTGAATGGGATCTTCAAAGGTGGATTTTCTCTCATGTACACTGCCCCTCAAGCCCGAGGGCGGGAGACAAAGGGGTTTGTCGAAGATCGAAGGGTTTTCTAAACGATTTTTTTTTTGTAAGTTAGTCAGGCTGCGCGGCGTGCCTCCTTATTTCTAAGTCGGCAGGGTACGAAATCTAAGAGGTCGGATCATTATTCGTTTTTGGGAGTTGTGTCCCCTGGGAACGAATGTGGCCATTCATAAATGTACCGCCCTAGGGATTCATCCCTCATCATTGGCATGGGGGCGTGTCCGTTGGTAGTCCATGCGCATTAATGAGGGGCCTCTTCGTATGCTCTTAGGTTGCCTATTGTTGATAATTCCGTTGAAGTACTTTTATTTATAATTATAGATTAGGTTACTTCCCTCAACGGACTCAAACACGGCAAGTGTACCGGCCGTACAAGTAGTAAAAATATCGTATCCACAGGGATTAGAAGGTAAACTAAGCATTCATTGGCTACTTGTGACTTGAGAACAATCCCAATAAATATGAATATGAATTTAAGAACAAAACTACTGGAATTGTTAAAACACAAATAAATGAATTAGAAATGAAATGGGGTGAGAAATGGTAAAATGGACACTTGAAGTTGTGGGGGTTTGATTTCACCAAACAAACACTAGTGAATCCTATGTCTCTTGTTACAGGAGTTTCAAATGGTTTTGGAGCTTCATTTTGATAGTACGATCGTGCTTATTATGAAGAGTGCTCGTGCATAACTAAACACACTTGTGCTGAATTTATGCATGATTGTGCACCTTGTTAAAGTTTGAATTAGCTTTTATGGAATTCATGAAAGTTGCAGTCCTAGGTGTTATCTTTCAAATTATGGTGGAATAACCTAAAAAGAAGGTTTAAAACTCAAGTTATTATCAAATTAGTGAGCAGGGGTCAACTGTAATATTTAGGCTGAAACACTACAATTTTTTATTTTAAAAAAATAGTAGATGACTTAATCAACTCTTGAGGTCAAAATAAAAGTTATAGGTAATTTTATAAGCATTCTTAAAAGAATAATATCAGCTTGATATCAAAATTATAACTTCATATATCATGTTTGTATCCTCACAATGTTGTAGGAGCTTAAGATAAAATGAGACCGTTTGGCAATTATAATGGTGAGTTGTTTTACCCTTTAAGCATTTAATCTTAAAATGTCTTGAGAAAATTATATCAATGGTTAAGAAAGAGAAATAATGAAAGAGGGATATTTTTGAATGAGTTATGATGAAGATCCAAAACTATATTTGTGAGACCTTTTGCATGAGGCTTTATGCTTGTATGAAATGTGAGATGTTCCCACATGATGTGCATGATATGAAATATTTATGCGTAGCATGAGGAATTCATATGTGATAGGTGATGATTATACATGATTTGATATGAGATGGTTATGTATGATGTGGTTTGAAATGTTTGTGCCTATGAGTTATTGAGCCAAGTAAGACCGTCAAAGGGAATGTCAACACTAAATGAACTATGAATGATGGTTGGAGTATTCCTAGTCCTACCATATAACACCTTGAAAGAAGTCATCCTAATGGTAATGTGGAATGATCTATTGACCAAAATTTTTCCCGCAAGAGAAATCAAACCCATAAATTGGGAGGGTCAGAAGAAAAAATAACATAAATACATTTCCAATAACTTATTAAGAGCTTTTGATTTCTCATTGGTTTGTTGATAATAAGATGAGCTCATCCTCAATGTTGTCCCTTACAACTTGAACATGTGCTACCAAAAGAATCCAGTGAATACTTTATCACAATAAGAAATGATTAAGTGGGATATCCCATGCAATTTGGCCTAAATCTTGATAGTGGACATGTGCAAGCACCTTTCTATCATAGGATCCTAGTCTTCTCTCCATTGCTACTTATCATTGTAGTACAAGTTTCATCTATCAACTTAGGGTACTAGTCCTTTCCCCAACAACACATGCCTTAAAGGAGTATATATGTGTTTGACAAAAGTTACACTCAACTAATGCACTATCTTTCTCTTAATATAGCATGCAACAATTTACACTACAATCAACATTCTTAGCTATCAATCCCAACTTAGAAATTAATCTCATTGTTTGATAGAGATTTTCAAGTAAAGAAGTATTTCTTTATGCCATGTTGTTTAACATCTATGTAAGAAAGTCAATGCACCTTTGAGGAACTTTATAGTTAAATCTAATTGCTAATTAACACATTGATGGCACAAATTTTGCTTCATATATACTTATAAATGGGTTGGTTTACATTCATCTCATTGAGCTTCTAAATTAGGAAACTCTTCCATTAAGATTGTCTCTGTTTGACTTTACACTACTATATTTTAATTCTTTAGCAACATTTTCTTTCTTAATTTATTAAAATGTTGCTATATATTAAATAAATAAGTTATTTTGCAACTTTTTTTTAAAATGTTACTATAATTGCTTATAAAATCAAAGTCTCACATCGAGTAAAAAAAAAATATTTCTTTCATCTCTAATTGTTACCCATAATTAAAGTCTCATATCGAATAGATAAATGACTCATAAAAAATATATATAATCATATAGTTATACTTAAGATAAATGAACTTTGATATTTGATATATATATATATATATATATATATATATATAATTAGTGGTGACTAATTAATAATTTATTCAACCTTCTCTTCAAGAATTCCTAGGAGTTTAGGAGTCATGATACAATATCTAAATTAAAACTAATTATCATTTTTTAAATTAACAAAAACTTAACAACATCATTAAAATGTTACAAAAATGTCACTTTAAATATTTGATAACATGTTGCAAAAGCTAAATAGCAATATTTGTACACAATTAGGTAACATTTTTTTTTTAAATATTACTAAAAGTTATTTGTGTTGTAGTGTATGGAAGGAATAATATTCTAGAACTCTTAGATTGCTCGGTGATGTTTTAATTTTTTTTTAATTTCATGATTTTTTAATATTTCATATCAATTTTCTTTTTAATATTCCAACATATGTGCCCACTCAATATCATTAAATAATTGACCTTTCGAAAACTGTTAAAATAATGCGTATTGAAAACTCATTATAATCACAACAATAGTACTAATAGTGCTCACAAATGCAAATGATGATTATGTTTGCAAGTTTTATACTTTTCATCACAGTACGGAAGATAGCCATGAGGATGCTACAATTTATATATTGCTGATGGAACATTATGATTTTGGATTATTTGCTGAATATATCATGTTCAAGAGAAATATAATTTTGTTGCTTATCTGTCACAAAGGTATGTGTTCCTACTTGAAACAGTCCTGATCTTCTTGGTGACTAATCCTCCAAGTTTGATACATTGATTAAGTCCTTGCTTCAGGTGGAGGGAGAGGGTACCTGCAAAGTCACCCTGATGCTCAAGTGAGTATTTGGTATAGAGCAATAAATGCTTCAATATTAAATAAACATCATACCTTTTCTTGTCCCATCAAGGTGTATTTATAGTGATGTATTTGGGCCTGATGGGCCTTTTTCCTCGGGGAATGGGTAATTAGAGTCTCTAAGTCCTAATTTAACCTTAATGTTGGTTTAAACAAGGAGTGGTAGAACAAGAAAAGGGTTCTTGTGAGACTTATGACTTGTATTGCTTGAGAATCATAGAAAATTATTGCTGCTCTTCCCGTGGATGTAGGCCTCAAGGCTGAATCACGTAAAGCTTGGTGTTATTCTTTCTTTATCCCTCATCTTTAATTTCTGCATTTTATAAACATTCTTGCATCTATGTGCATATGTGTGCATTAGTATTTTGTGGTTCTTGTATGTTTTAATCTTCTTGTTAGGTGTTATAAGCTGAAGGACCAACAAACATGATGTCGACGATGTTGAAGACAAGGCTTAAACATTGTCTTGGATTCATATTCTGATAAAATGTGATATTGAGACTTAGTCAGGACTTTCATTATGTTATATGTTCATGTTTTAGGATAACTCTTAGTTTCACTATTATTTATCAAGTAGGCATTGTTGGTATTTTATGTCAGTTAGTATGTAATGTGATATTTTCTTGTTGAACTAATGTGATATTTTCTTGTTGAACTTGTGTTATTTCTATAATTATGAATTTCTTTCTACTCAATTTTTAAATGTTGTGTTTTATATGTTTTGTATGGTAAAAAGTGTCACACAAAGTGTGTTTCATGTGAAGCACAATCATGCATCTCAATAAGCATGTTCATGCATTTCAATATATATGTGTATCTTTAAAATCAAAGCGTACTTCAAATGAAGCATGATTGTGTATATATAAGCAATCATGCATCTCAAAACCCAAGTGCTTCATTTTAACACGGTTATGCTTCAGGCATGCATGGATGTGCGTAACATTTCAACTCATTTTTTCATCCTTTTGGCCTCTATTAGCACCAATTTTCTCTGTTGGGTCTTCTCACCTATTTCTTACACACTGAATCACAAGGAGTCAAGTTTTTCTAACAATATAATCATAAACAAATCAAAACAACAATCAAGATCAGCATGATTAAATGTTGCAAATTAAGGATTTAACAAAAGTGAAGTATTTATAAAATAAAGAATTATTCTCTTTTATATATTAGAGTGATTATTCTTGCTTGTCCAATTGATTTTTAAAGTATAAGAGATTTATCAAATGCAGTTCAGAAGGATGAAGTTAACCTCTTCCTAAAATAAGAGTATTCAAATAAAAACAATAATGTAAATAGGGACGTTTACAAAGAGAATCTATTTATAAAACCAAGCCAACATGCAGAGAACACAAATAATCAAAAAAAAAAAAAAATACAAAAACAACATATATTATAATTGTAAATTTATAATGTTATTACTCTTACAAGACTGAATTATACTTTTCCATACACACAAGATACATATAACAAGAAGAAGATATACATACATAGAATCGTAGATAGTAATAGTTGTATATTAAGCATCAGAGGATTCAGACCAAGTAATTTGCAATCCACCCCATTGGTCTTGAGGCACGCCCAAGGCTTCCCACACAGCCTTGGATGCATCAACAATGTTGTTAGCACAAGGAGGTTGATAATCATGGTCTGCATCACAACCCATTGTTGAGTCACACTCATCAACCACCATGGCCTCCACACTCCTGCCATTGCCATTTATGGTGATCTTCTTGTGACACCTGCTCTTGTGGTTGAACCATCCAGTAGAGAGTGCAACTATTGGTTTGTCATCAGAATGATACTGGTTGTCACATGCTGAAGGCCCACCTCCATCTCCACCCTTTTCAAAGCTGTTAAGGGTTAGATATGCCTTTGTGTGACTACTCACTTGTGGAGAACATTTGTATATTGGGTACATTTTGCCTGTTTCACAACAATCAGAATCATTCTCTTTGTTGCATTGTCCTGGAGGGGCCTTTTTTCCTTTGATTCTTCCACTTGGACGACATTGTTGTGCTTCAGAATACATACAATTTATTAATAGGAAAAAAAGTAGTACAAAAGAGAATGCTTTTGTACACATACTCTTCATTTTGTCTATGCTCCTTAGTTTGTACCTTTTGTTGTTCTTCTACAATTTTGAGTGCTTTGTTGATGCATGAATGGGGATTTTAAAGGGTATATATAGAAATTTTCTCTTCAAGTAAATCATTCAGCTGAGATAATTAACATGCATATTGTAGTTGTTCTCCTATACTACAGGACTATTTGGTGGTCAAAGAATGAGTTTACCACAGCACCGTGCATGTAAAAACCAAAATGACATGTACAAGTACAACATTTAGTGGTTGATTTTTCTAAGGCACGTTGTTGAACTGGTTTCGTGAATTGCAGGTTTCAGTATATTGACAACTACATACTTATTAGTTCTTTTTGTTTTTATTACATTCTTTTAAATATGATTCATTTTATACAGGTAGGGACGATCAAAACTATGGTCAAAGCCCTTAAATGGAAACAGATATTCCAATTCCGAGTAATTTTACGAGATTATTGATTAAGCTTTTAATAATTAAAGAATAACATTTCTTCCATTTCACAATAGTTATACAACTTTAACACACATGTTCATCAACCAATTTGATTTAGATTTGAAATAAATTAAAATCTGAACCAATCAATTTTGATTGGTTTGATTTTGATCAGATTTATAAATAAAAAATTACAATCCAAACTAAATTAAATCAAATTAATCAATGGGATTGATTTTCTTAAAAAATAAATGGTAGATGTTTATTTTTTTAAAATATATTTTTTTATCACAAAATTTAAATAAAAAAATATTATTAAAAGAGTGTAAATAGCATTCAAACATAAATAAAAAAAAGTAATGTAAGAAATATGAAATTAAAGTATTCTAACATTTAAAATTAAAATAGTCCTTTAAACATAATTAAATTGTCTAAATTATAATTATTATCCAAGTAACCTTCATGTTTTTTTTTCTCAACTTGAATGTCAACATGTGCAAATTAATAATATATTAAGAAAAAATAAATGTTATAAATTTTTTATTATTAAGTCTAATGGTTGGACTAAGATGAAGTAAATAATGACACTGAAAATAACTAGAAAGTAACAAAATCAAATGGCTAAGGCTGTGTAGCATGTGTCTAGATATGAATTGAATGGTAACTAGCTAGTAAATGAGTAGGGTAACTAATAAAATAATAATTTTATAAAATATATTAATATCATTAAATAAAAATATCATAAAAGAACTACTATATATGTCAATCTTATTATTTTATATATAATTGTAGTACTGTTAGAGTGTTAATGTGGTATAATAATATTGCACTTACATGTTACTAATTAATAAAATCAAAATGTTATAAAATAATATTAAGCTAATAATTATAATAATAAAATAAAATATTACTAATAATCTTAATTAGTTCAATTCTTAAGTCATTGTATTTGTAAAATGTAAATTCGTGCTCTAAATCAATTAAGATTATATTAATTGGTTTGGATCAAATTTAATCCAATAAAAATAAATGAATTTAATTGATTTGCTTCGAATTGATTATTGATTTTATTAGATTACTTGAACCAACAAATACCTCCTAAAAATTTTAACATTTAAAAATATTTTAAAATGAATGATATTCGCTCATTCTTGATGTAATATTGATTTTTTTTCCCCTTATTTGTCATTAATAAATTATTCAACTTCCAATTTTCAAAATAAAGCATTTAATTTATTGAGATGATGGACTATATATTTTAGTAAAATTACATAAAAAATAATTAAAAAAAATAACATTTTCTCTAGTCCTTATTATAGGATTCAAAATTTCAAGTTAGTTTAGTCATTTTTTATAAGACCTAATTTATTATATTCCAAGCATTAATTTATTTTAAAAAATACTTTTATTAAATACATTTATTTAATAAGTTAAAAAAAGTACGTAGAATTTGTTTAAGTGGATTACAAATAGTCCTTTTTTTTTCTTAGAGTGCAAATTTTTTGAAAACATATATTAGATGTATTATTAATTTAGGGATAGTTTTGAAAAATAAAAAAATTCAAGACATATTAATTGACCTTAGTCACTAAAACTATCTTTTCTTAATCTTATTATATTAATTATTATTTTTAATTTTTATATAAAATCTTTCAATTATTGTAAGAAGAAGGGAAGGGACTTGTTGTTATGCTAATGCATGAAAAATTAATATAATCCGTTCTAGTGCAACACAACCAGTTTTGTTTTACATCATTAATTAGTATGCGTACAGAATAATATGGTTTTTAAATTATGTTTTGTGTTTCTTGGGATAATAAAGATCAAATAAGTGATATAAACAAGTCATTTATTTGTAGAACTTAAAGCCAAAGTTAATTTCTAGAACTCTGTCACCTAAATAATCCCAAACATATTGAGAAAATATATTTAGTATTACAATACACATGACAGAGTTTCTGTTGACTAAAAAATTGAGTTAGGTTGCATGCATACAATATTCACTTCAAGATAAATTTCCACCTGCCGTTTCCGCAACTTCATTATTATCCCTTTGCTGCCCTATCCCCAACTTTACTATATCTTGTGTCTTTGTTATGACCAAAATGTGATTTTTGAAGTCACGACTAGTGTGGGATCAAAGTCGATTATTTTTACTAGAATTTTTTTAAAAAAATATATTTATTTTGTGAGATCAAAATAATTTATATTTTTATATTTTATTTAATAAAAAGGTTTAAAAATTACAAATCCCAATTGATGTTATGTTTGTTCAAATTTTTTTTTTTTTTTGGTTCGTCCCTAGAGTATCCACCGCCAACAGCATGTTTGTTCAAACTTTAAAGTTTTAAGTTTGAATTTTATATTTATAAAAATAGTTAAATTTTAATATTATTTTTTATTATTTAACAATTTAAAAATAAAATTATTTAAAAACTTGTATATCAAATTAACTCATCATTATATATGTTATAGATAAAACTAGTGTGAAAATCTAAGTTATTGTGGGTTGGAATAAATGATTTACTGTGAGGTTGACATTTCTTGTAACCATTAAAATTTTATTTAGGTGAGCATATTTACTCGGGTCTTGAGTGAAATTGAACAGTACTAAGTTTTGATCAATCACCAAGTAAATAGTGATCCATGTCAATAGTTTCTTGTTGATAGTCTTGAGAGTGTCATCATTTATTTAATATTTTTAGTATAAAAAAATCAAATTTTTTCTCAAATTTATTTTAAGAGGAATCAAATTCAATTTCTTACAACTTATATTTTATTGAAGTTAATATTAGTTGTCAACAAAATTGATAAATATTTCTTATTAATTTCATGGTTAAAAAATAATAAAAATGTTTTGTTATAACTTTTTTTTTTTCGGGCTTTTATATGTGGATTCAAAAGCATATATAGTAATTGCTTGAAAGATATAGCAAGTTGATTTTACTCTTTTTTTAAAGTTTATTTTAAAGGGAGTAAATTGAAAAATTAATTCTAAATTCTGACAAATTTCTCTAGAGAAGCTTTTTTTAATATGACTATTACGTGGCACATCCATGTAGATGCCACATTATACAAGATATCCACGTATCTCTATTGTACACTAATCACTTAGTATTTCAATTTTAACATCAAGAACTAAAATTGTTAATTAAAAATTAAACCAAAGAATAAAAGTAGTCATAAAATTTGATTTTCTTTTTCTTTTTTTTTTTTACAAAAGTCATAAAACTTTGATAAGAACTAAAAAAAAAACCTTATATAAAAAATTGTTTATTATTTTCTAGATCTAAGTTTTTAGATAAAATGTCTATTTTTTTTCTTTTAAGTTATACTTTTTTTATATAGTTTTTCCTATTTATATTTTCTTAAAAACCCTATTTTTATATTTTTCTAAATAATTAATTAATCCAATGACTTGACCGTTCTCTCTCTTGCTCTTACTATTGGTTCCTACGGTGGAAAACATTTTCAATTATTCAAGAGCATGTACTTATTTAGTTATTTTACTAAAATCATGATAACTAACATGCATATTTTTCTTCTTCTTCAAATTTAGAGTAAATGACATTAACATCTCATAGTTTCATAAAATTTCATAAACATCTTACTTTGACTTACTCATCCAATAATTTTTCTTAATTATCTAAAAGTATTATTCTGACATCTTTAGATATTATATTAACTTATCTTATCATGTAAAAATTATTACATTGTAACTTCTTATAAGAGAGATTATTGTAAAAGTTAAAAATATAAGGTATAAATGTAATTTTATGAAAACTTAGGAGTTTTCAATGTAATTTACTTAATTTTATATTTACAAAATTCCTAAGAAAAGTGTAATGATAGAAAAGTTAATTGTTAAAGGGATAATGTTCTCCACGAGTAAAAAATGTTGTATGACATCTATATTGTTACTTGAACCTCCCTAAATACGTTTTCAATTCTTCTAAAAAGAGGAAATTTTATTTTTAGCTTTTTTATCCCTCAAAATATATAAACTTATCGTTTTTGTCCTTAATAACATGTGACATTCATTAATTATTTTTTATATTCAATTAAAAGTTAAGCGATGATTTCAAGTTAGTATGTCACACTTTTTCAATCCTTTTTAGATTTATTTTTTTTTATTTAACACAAGTGTTTTTAAGCATTTTTATTAATGAAAAGTTTTTTAAATATTTTTAAAATCTGTTATCGATTTTAATTTTTTATTTATGGTATTTATTTATAAATTTAAATTTATTATATTTTATAATAAATGATCAATAATTAAAAAAAAATATATTTTATTACAATATAAATTATTTTCTATAAATATAAATACAATTGATACGTTCAAAAATATTTATTTATATAAAATTTAAATTTAAATAATCATATATTAAATTATAATATTTATTTTTACAATTAATTATAAATTTTATTTATATATAATACATTTTTAACATTTACCATATACATACTAAAATATTAATTATTATAAGTTATATTAATATATAAAAACATAATTAATAAAGTATTTATATATTCTTTACGCATTAGAACCACCACTACACATTCTGTTTATGGTTAATTAGTTTTTTGACAGCAAATGGTTAATTAGTTAATAGTTATAATTATCACATATGTGCTTGCAAGTACTTGTACAGTCGTACGTATTTACTTTTATTTTTTTTATCAATCAAATGTACCTATGAAATAATATTTTTTAAAATTCTCAAAGGAAAAAAAACATTATTTTATTATTAGTTAATTGTTCAGTATCAAAAGTTGTCTGGGTGGTGTAGTTGGTTATCACGCTAGTCTCACACACTAGAGGTCCCCGGTTCGAACCCGGGCTCAGACAATTGTTAAATGTTTTTTTGTCATATTTTATTTTTTTAATGCCTTTGAGGATTTCCAACACAATATTATTAATGTCAAAATACTACTAATACATTCAACAATGACAGATTTCTACCAACAGAAATGTTTCTGATTATCCACAGAAAAAAAGTGAGATGAATGAAGTCAAATACAATATAAACTAGTAAACACAGTTCCAAATTCAAATTCTTTCCTTTTACAAAATCTGCCCCCTCCCCCAGTTTTTCTATTTTCAGCATTTCATTACCTTCAATTAGTAATTTATAGGTTCAACAAATGACTCATCCCTATTATAATTAGTAATTTATGTTTTCTCCATGTTTTGAAGCATTTCTCTCGCATAAATCAATGATAAAAGTAACACATTTTGTATAAACTCCTTAAATTCTCTTTAAATAATTAATTTAGATTTTATGTCTCCCACCTAAATCAAAGATAAAAGAAAATTATGCATAAACTCCTAATTTTCTTTAAAATAATTAATTTCTTCTGATTTAGCTAATTTATTTGAGTTTTTATCTAATTAAATTTAAATTCTCTTCAAATAAATTAATTTAAATTTAACTAAATTATAAAAATTCAAATTCATTTAATGGATTTTGAAATTATCTACGTGAGTTACATTTAATAGGAAATAGTAGTCATGTATATATATACAACTCATGAACATATTTTCAATTATGAATTCAAATAACTAAATATGTGTTTAGATATCAATTTAAAATTATTTAAATAAGAAAACACATATTTTAATGTAAAAAAATAAAAGTATGTTAACGAATTTTTTTTTTCAAACATACCCTAATTCATTTAGTTTTATCATTTTTACGTAATCAACTAATATTGTTTTGATTAGCATTTTTAAAAGAAAATAAAAGTCACATTATATACATATATTATAAATATAATTCAATTAAGGAGTATTTTTTTTAACTAAAGAAAATATTTCATTATATTATAGGTACCTACAAAATAAATAAATAAAAGGTTAAGGAATTATTTTCTTAACTTTCATCAAATTTATTAATAATAAAAGTCATTTTCAAAATATTTATAAAAAGTATTAAATACAAATTATAATTTATACAATTATTATGATTTCCGCCTAACATAAAAAATCACTGCATGCACATCACACTGTTAGTTAAGATTAATTAAGAATAAATGAGTAGAAGCGTTCTTTTCTCTTTACATACACAACATTATGCAAGCACTAGGTTCTTCACTCTCAGTCCCAGATTGCACTCTTCCGGTGCCCAGATTCTCAATTAATTCCACTCTTCCAAATTTTGCATCTTTTGTGTCCACCCTGAGCCCCTCCAAGGTTGGAATCAGATTGAGTTTGACTTTTGGTTGTGGGGTTAGGAGTAGTAGGTGTGATAGTTTTGGGGTCCAGTGTTTAGGGTCCAATGGAGGAGAAAATGATGATGGGTTTTACATCAGAAGATGTGTAGAGCTTGCAAGGAAGGCTCTTGGGTTTACCAGCCCCAATCCATTGGTGGGATGTGTCATTGTAAAAGATGGGAAAGTTGTTGGTGAAGGCTTCCACCCTAAAGCAGGGCAACCTCATGCTGAGGTACCTACTTTCTATCTATCTCTCTAAATTGTTCTATGTTATGTAAAATAAGAAGTTGGCAAAAAAAAACTTGTTTGTTTGTTATGTACTTATTATACTGTGTTTGTGTTCTTTTGTGGTCTGTTGATTTCATTGAATTGGTGTTTTAAACTGATGATAAGCCTAAACAAGGTTTTAAATTGCGGTCTAGGTTGCGATTTCATTGCATTTCCTTATATCGTGGAAAATTGCAGACTAATGCGGTTGAGGCTGAAATTGTGGTCGCCAACTGTTTTTATAAAATCTTTGTCCTTGAATTGTGGAAAATTGTGACAAATGTGGCCACAACGATTATGGTTGCAAAGACCCCAAAATCCTTGATATTGTAGAGAGCCCCAAAATGTTTTTAGGAATATTTATAAATGTTGTCTAGGAATCAAATATTTTTACTGTCCATTAAATAAGCAAATAAAGGTAATGCGATATTTGTCCCACATTAAAATTTTCTTTTTAACTAGAGAATGTTAGTTTCCCCCTTTCATGTGGGAATAATTTTGTGAGAAACTTGTATAAAAAGTATTTTCGGAAAATAATGTTTCTTATGAATGTTATTATTTGAATAACAATCAAACATGGGAATTCCGAACTTCAGATTTTCTAAGAAGTAAAAATTTTCCATATACCATGTCTTCTTAATGTTGTGGCTAAAAATCATTTAAAACCTTGAGCCTAATTTGAATTTAGATTGTGTTTTTTGTAAGAAAAGAAATTAGGAGATATTCTAGGGAACATGCTTTGATCGTTAGATGTTACTCTTCCTTAGAATTTAGATAGGGAGTCTGTGTTTGTTGCTGAGTATGTTGAGTCAGGAGATGAGATTGCCAGGTGTTTGCTCTGAGAGATGCTGGTGATTTGGCACAAAGCGCAACGGCTTATGTGAGCTTGGAACCTTGTAACCATTTTGGTAGGACTCCACCTTGCACTGAAGCTCTAATTAAAGCCAAAGTGAAAAAGGTTGTTGTTGGGATGGTGGATCCAAATCCCATTGTTGCCTCCAAAGGGGTGGAAAGATTGAGAGATGCAGGAATTGAAGTAATTGCGGGTGTAGAGGAAGAACTGTGCAAGAGCCTCAACGAGGCATATATTCATCGCATGTTGACTGGAAAGCCTTTACTTACTTTGAGGTAATTCAACTATAGCTCTGTCCTTTGACACCTCCACTTGCTTTGCATTAACGATTTGTGTATAGACGCTCTTTGGGTGCATAGTGGTGTTTGGTTTTAGATTTATTGATCAACATATGTTATTTTTCTTAGATAAACATGCATTTCATAGCTCAGCCTGTTCCTGCATCGCAGATATTCTCTTTCTGTCAATGGAAACTTCGTGGACTTACTTGGAAATGGAGTTACAGACTCTGGTGGATACTACTCAAGGCTATTACAAGAAAATGATGCAGTCGTAACCTCTTCTTCCTTATTCAGTGAAAATTTTTCAATTCCTACATCTCAAGAACCTGGGGCCAACCAACCAATTCGGATTATAATACATAAAGATCATAGTTCTTCGAATCAAATTCCACTTGCCATCAATGAAGTTGCTGGCAAAGTGATAATCTTTACGGACAATAAAACAGAAATAGCTCTAGAAGTGGCTCAACAAGGAATTGAAATTGTAGCTCTGGATCAAATAAATTTGGATGTGATCTTGGATTATTGTAATCGTCAAGGATTGTGCAGTGTTCTGTTAGATATTAGAGGGAGTTTCAGTGAGTTTGAAGAGCTTGTTAAGGAGGGTATCAAGAAGAATTATATTAATAAATTTGTCACAGAAATTTTGCCATTTTGGAACGGATGTGCTGAGCCAGATCCTCTACAGACAATGAAGAGCTTAGAGCTAGGAGTAAAAGTGGTAAATTTGAAGTCCAGGGCCTCTGATCAGAGTGTTGTAATTGAGGGGTGTTTTAAATTTGAGTAAATGGGATCACAGGTGCCTACCAACTCCCATTTACCAATCTCAGTGTCATGGTTTTTGTCGAGGCATTATTTGCTATAGGATAAAATTAAAAAGCAGTTATTGTATTTTTTGGCAGAAAGGCGAGGGTTATTGTCAATAATGATCTATATTTTCATATTTTCTGGGTTAACATGTTTCTTAGCTTTAAATTTTGGTTGAATGCAATTACTTTGTCTTGAAATTTAAAAGAGATTGTGCCAGCATGATGCTACCTTAGAGTCTGGCCTCATGTTTCATGTGAAATGTAAGCCGTGGATGTTAGCAGTTTGATTGTGTTAGTTTAACAAAGGAAATTAGAATGCTTGGTTTAAGCTTCTTTTTGCATTGTTTTTTCTGTCAGAGTAAAACAGCATATTTTGTAATTCAAATAAACTTTAATGAATTGTTATAAATAGGGAAAATTGCTATGAACTATTTTGAGATCTTTTTAAATGACACTCACCTCCCTTATTTATTCAAGTGATACATACAACCTCTTATATAAGATAATACTATTTGTACTATTAAGAAGGAACAAATTATTAATATAAGTGTTAACAATTGAATAAAATTTGATTTTTTACTTAATTTTAACTTCTAAATTATATCCTAAGTATCACACGTGTTTTTATTTAAAAAATATACCAGTTTCAAAAAATAATTTCAAAGAAAGAAATGAGAAATTATTATTTTTAAAATTGAAGAACAACAAAAACTTTCATTTAGAAATCATAGCATTGTTCGTAACTTAGAAATAAAGGATAGATATGTATATGATTGTCAGCATATGAAGATTTTTAATTTTTTTCTTTCTCCTACTTCAATTAACGATGTTAACATAAGGGAGATGAGTAGTTTTTAAAGACTAGACGAGAGATGTGTTTAATTTAAACAAACCTTAGGAGTTGAATGCAATTTTTCCTTATAAATAAGGTATAGCCGGAGATAAACTATTTTTAGTTGACCGTTCAAGAGATTCCAAGGCTATTAATATTATATTTGTTGTCACCTAGAAAGTTTAAAAGGAGAACAAGTTATCAATGAGCAAAGCTCAACATTTCCTCTTACGGTTCCCAACAAATGACAAAACATTCTCCTCTTATCAGAGTGAACCTGTTGAATTCGTATCTCTTTTAAAGATATATCGCACAGCTGCTTTACATACCAAACAATTATAAAACAGCGAGCAACAAAAGAGGGCAGCACTTCAAAATCTAAAAATCAAATAGAACCCAACTTTGGGAGAAAAGATCCTCGTGTTTCATTAAACAACTTCTTATATACATGCCGTAGAGAAAGTAAATGCCTATTAGAACCTCTGGTTCGTCCTAAAAGTACATATATAATCTATAAAAACAAAGGCCTGAATTGATGACCTTATATTTACATGATTATGAATTAATGATATATACAGATCCAGTTCATAAGCAGAATACATTCGAAAAGCACCATTCTGGCCGATTTGAGGTAGACTCTGCATGTTGGTGCAAGTGTAGCACAATTATCATTAGTGACTACATAATATAATTCCTAACTACAATTAACTTGGTTAAACAAGTAGCATGTACAGAACCACCTCAAGCAAAATTTGAAGTTCATAGTAAAGTTCCCTTTCATCTAGGAGTTAGGCCAGCCATTCGGTGAATGCTCTTCAGAGAGGCTATTTTGCTTTGCAACAAGGCGCGCATGAATTAAATTTCCAGTTGTGATTGCTTCTTGGATGTCTGTGTGCGCCTTTTGGCAGAGTTCATCAAGTGCAAGCATGGGAAATGGCTCCTCTATAAGAACTCCAACCTACAGCAATCATTTTCACATTATTGGATTAGCTTTCTTCTACCCAGAAAATATCTGGAGTTGCATTTCAAAGAAGAGAATTTATATACATCTACTTTTATTTTCCATCTCATTTCTATTCCATTTTCTTCCTATTTCTTCTCATCACTTCATTTATGACATCACATCTACCACTTTCTCTCTCCACCTTTTCTTTTTTCTTACTATCTCTCTTCCTTCCACTCCAATCACCTCCAAAATGGGGTGAATGTTTATATTTTTTTCCTCAGGAGAATTCATCCATCAAACACTTCTGAATGTGTTCAATCATTTTAGATTAGAGGTAGTCCCAAATCTACTGTAACAGTGCAAAATTGATTCTGCAGTCTGTGTTGGTAGGCAACTATCTGCAAATTCGATAATGAGGACAGAAATTCTAAATTTCTAACAGTGTAAATTCAAAAGTTAGTATCTACCTTTTGTGCATAAATCTTATACCAAAGTGCAGCAGTCCAATGGTTATGCAAAAGTAAACCAAATATTTTATATGCATAAGACACCCATAATTTCTTCCACAATTTTTACATAATCAACTCTCTAAAATCTAACAGCTGGAATGAAAAGCATTGTCATAATTACTCTCCCTTATCTTTCAACATTTTTCCGTCAATCTAAAACTGTTTACCTAATGCATATTGCATACTGAGAAGAAAGGAAAAAACAAATAATGTGCAATAGCCCAAAGGCCCCAATTCTGTTGCCTGCATCTACAATAAATTAGATAATAAATATATTAAAGAGTCAAGGTAAGAAGGGGAACATACTTCTTCAATGCAAAACAAAGATGCAGCACTAATAAAAGTAGCAGGAACCACAATCCATTGACAATCATCCCAAAGTATGATAGGGAGCGTCAGATGCCACAGGACAAGAAACCTTGAGGTCAAGCGAGTATATGATAACGGAATGGGAATACCCATAAGTTGTTCACATATGCCAATTCCTTCATGGAAACAAGATATCTTTGACTCCTGTACCACAACGAGGGAAGTGTTACACAAAGAATTACCACAGTTAAGTGTTATGTTAACAAATCCACTTGTACAATACAACTTTGTCAGTTTGCCACAAAATCAATCAGGAGTCAGAAAAAAATTACATTTTTGACAAAAGTGTTATTTCACATACAATGTTTCCTAATCTAACATGTACTATGATGCTAAAAAATAAGGTTTAAAAAAGTCCACAATTGCATCTGCCTTGACAAGATTTATGAATCACTGCACCCTTAAAATGTCAAGGTTTTGGAATCATCACGACTGTAATTGTTATTTCCATTTATAACCAATTGACAGATCTTGATGTTGGCTAACTAAAACTACAACAACATCAACCAAGCATGACGCCAAGCATAATTTAAAATCTTGCTAACAATTCCAACCAGTACATACCAGAACATTCCTTCTAGAATCCTCCAGTTTCAGCAACCGAATGCTCTGTGAAATAAACTCAATAATGCAATGAGGCCGGTGCTTGGAATTCATGACCACAGCTAGATCATCCACTTCCAGCATATGCTGAAGATCCCTCCTAATATCCGAACCATACAACACGTGACACTGCATTCAAACAGCAAGTTTCACCATCATTCAGAAAAACCACCCAAATCGAAGGAAGCCAATCAACAAGTTATAGGTTTCAATAAATTTCTCTATACACACTTTTAATAAAATAAGAAATCAAAGTAAACTAAATTCTTCCAAAAAATTAAAATTAATTTATATACAAGTTAATTTGTAAAAGTTCACTTCTCCAAGAATTAATTTTTAACTCCTATATAAACTAATTTTAGCTTACAGATAAATTTATTTCATTTTTTTCTTTTTATTTTCTTCTCTAATGATTCGGAAAAGTTTTTATCTTTTTTATTTTTTATCAACCAGAATTACACAACAACAAAATTCAGATCTAATACCTTTTGCATACTTCCAAGTCTCCCACTAGGCCTTGTGCATACTTCCAGTAGTCTCCCACTAGAATGACCCTAATGGTCGGAAGAAAATTATCTAAACATTTTAATATAAGAGTCCATTTGAATAATCTTATCTGGAAGCGCTTTTTTGAAAGGAAAAAAAAGAAATTCGAAAAAAATTATATATATACAAATCCTAGTTTATCCATCAGTTAAAATTAATGATTTTAAATAAGTTAACATGAAAGAGGTTTTCCAAATTAAAGTTAATAATTGATTATGGAGACATCTTTTCTTGGTAGGAGTGTTAACACAGATCGTACGTATTAAAAAACAGTGTGCAAGTGCAACTAATTGCAGGCACATTTGTGTGTGAATTGAAAACCTTAAGCGCAACGGGGAAAGCGGCGATGTACTGCAAGAGGGCGTGCTTGATGGGGAAGTCGTCGGCGTTGTCGACGACGATGGCGGCGACCTGTCTGGCGAAGTCGTGCGTGGCGGCGATGACGTTGGTCCAGGCCTTCTTGCCGTCGACGAATCGGGCGTAGGAGGCTTCGGTGCGGAAGACGAGGAGGAGGGCGAGGGCGGGGGCGGTGAGCTGGTAGGGGAGGGTGGAGGCCCGGAGGAGGGGGAGGAAGTCGGGGAGGAGGTGGAGGAGGAGGGCGGAGTTGTAGGCAGCGATGGCGGCGGCGAAGGCGGTGAAGAAGAGGACGGGGGGGACGAGGGAGAGGATGACGCGGGAGGAGAGGCTGGAGAGGAGGTGGCGGAGGTGGCGGAGGGAGCTGCGGTGGTCGCGCCAGTTGAGGTGCGTGTAGAGGGACCTTTTCTTCTGCATGCCCCGCTCCTGCACCGCGTCGGCCCAGTCCGGGACGGAGCGGAGGAGGGAGATTAGGGTTTGGGCTGGGCCGGAGGAGGAGGAGGAGGGGGGAGGGAGGGAGGCCCGGATGGGGGCCTTGTTGGGCCTGGAGGTGGAAGGCAGAAGAGGGAGCCTGAGAGGGCATTTTGGGGAGAAGAGGGAAGAGAGGGTTGGGGGTTTGATCTGAATTCTGTGATGGTGGTACATTGAGTTGGAGTAGCAGCAGTGGTGGAAGCAGAGTAAGGCATGAACATCTTACACTTTCTTTTCAAATGGGTGGCTCATTTTCAATTTTCACACCAAACCAAACCTGTTGGTGACATGGGTGACTAGTGAAGTGCGATTTTACACGTTTTACC